AGTGTGTTTACATATGTGTGTATGTATTTAATATATTATTATTTGTATTAAATATTTGCACACACACAGAAAAATACATATTTAGAGTGTGTTTACATATGTGTGTATGTATTTAATATATAATTATTTTTATTAAATAATAACGTGTGTGTGTGTGTATATATATATATATATATATATATGTATATTGTATACGTACGCACATACATAAAAATATAAGATAAAAATAATATAAAAAACTCTGTTTTAATCAAATTCTAAATTAATTTTAAATGTATATTTTATTCAGTACTGAAAAGAATAGTATTGCTTTTCCTCGTATTTGTATGATTTGTGTTTAGATGACACAACACTAAACTACTGGAATCAGTTATGATTTGACTTTCATTTAATTCCGGAGGTGAGAGAAAGAGATCGTGAAAAGCAAAATTATGACTCTTATTGATGCAAAAAGTTACAATCTCTCCAACCCTCTCTTTTCTACTCATTTACAGTATGCTCACTCTATTTTGTTCTTTTTCTCCTCATTGTCCTCCCTATCCCTCCAGCGGTCGTTTTTCTGCCGTCTGACAGGCGACAGTAAGTCAGAGAAGTTCTTCAAAGTGTTTTACGAGCGGATGAAGCTGGCCCAGCAAGAGATCAAGGCAACTGTGACAGTGAACACCAGCGATCTGGGCAGCAAGCGCAAAGACGAGGACGCCAGCGACAAGGACAACCAAACACGCAAGAAAGGTCAGGGCTCAGCACGCCTGACCATAAACTACACGCACCGCTACATGTGATTATACCATGTAGCCCAGACATGCGAAAGCATAAACAAATACAATCCTCCCCATTTTTCAGTCAAGGAGGTGGCTGTAGTGACCGAGGAAGTGCGAGAGCAGCTTCTTGAAGCATCTACGGCCACAAAGAAGGCCTTCACCGCTTACCGAAGGGAGGCGGACGCCGACGAGCATCAGAATGTGGCGGAGGTGCAGAGTAGCACAGGCGAGAAGAACCAGGATGACAACGAGATGAGCGTCATCATAACCATCATGCAGCCAATCCTGCGCCTCCTGCAGCTGCTTTGTGAAAACCACAACCGTGAACTGCAGGTTAGCTGCTGTACTAGAGTATATGTTGTGAAGAGTTTCCCAAATGTTGCGACCTAAAAATGTAGCTTGTCTAGCTGCACTTTCTCTAAGGAGAGCTGTATGTATGAGTGGTGTCAGAATAGATCATATTCATTCAACCCAACATGAAATGTTATTTGCTAGCCATTTTTAGTTCCCTAATGTGGCGTAATTCTCAGTGAAAAGGGATATTTGGGAGGGAAAAAGGTAGGAAAGTACTTAATTTCATCTATCGACAACTGATTCAATTGGGAAAAGTGGATTCCAGAATGGACCCAGGAATAAAAGGTTTAGCAAAAACGTTGTTAGCTGAAAAGGCTCAAAATATTAAAAGGTTATGAAGATAGCATTTATTTTTTGTCAAATAACATATTAAAAAAGTAAATGGAGTTTATTTATTACAAGCTAAACTGCAGAATGTGAGAAATGTCTTTCATGTTTTGGTAGCTTTTGAAGATGTTTCATGCTAGTTAAAAAAAAATTAGCTAATGGTCCAGAATTATTTCCATTACGTCACCCTCTAGATGTTTACAGCAATACAATACAAATACATAAAGAAACTTATTTTTTGCTAAATCTAATTTGTATATTTTATTAAATACTGAAAAGTATTAAAAGTGCAATGCAGGTAAAACTGATTATTTATCTTTCGAAGAAGAGTTTCATGCTAGTTATACAATTAGCTTATCATTAACCGTTTGGTGAATTGTTTTATATTTATTTCCTTGCTTAACTAATGTTTATATTTTTAACTTTTTACATAACACCATCCTGTGGGTGGTTTCATCATAAACACGTTTTATAATTTGACTTCTTGGATCTGATATTCTCAAAGTCCTTGAAAAAAATAAAAAAAGAATATATAAGCAATCTGAAATCCTCTTTTTGTTCCAAATACTTATTGTTGATTATATATTGACTCTGTCTGTGCTTCTTCTAGCTCTAATATGACTTATAAAAACAAAAGCATGCCCCTCATATCCTGTTTTTCTCACTTGTTCCCTAGAACTTCCTTCGCTGTCAGAACAACAAAAACAACTACAACCTGGTGTGTGAGACGCTGCAGTTCCTGGATTGTATATGTGGCAGCACTACAGGAGGTCTGGGGCTGCTGGGGCTTTATATTAACGAGAAGAACGTCGCTCTCATAAACCAGACTGTGGAGAGCCTGACAGAGTACTGCCAGGGGCCTTGCCATGAAAACCAGGTGGACCTGACACATTCACACACTCTTCCTCATCCATACTTTAAAGGAATAGATCACCCAAAATGAACTTCTGTTGTCATTTACCCTCATCTCTGAGCAGTCTGATTCAAGAAATAATCATTCAGGTGGGCTTGATTGATCCATTGATTCTTTTGTGAATTGGATCTAATTTGTGAATCTCTTCTTGTCTCTTGAACTCAAAACTCCAAGGAGGGTAAATGATGCCAGAATTGTAATTTTGGGGTGAGCAATCGCTCTAAGATTATGCGTCCTTATATCCACTATTATTTACTCAAAATGATGGCAAAATCTTTCTTTGTTTTTCGGGCTAGGCATTATGCAACTTTTCTTACTTCGTAGGACCTTTATAATGGGGCTGATTATCATCATTGTCCTACTTTTCTAAGAGGAAATGTAGTGTATTTGTATGACGGCAATGTGCTTTTGTCCCGTAATAATTAAATGATTAGTCTTCCACTGAAGCACTCTCTTTCAGGGTCATAATTATTTAATTGATGGATGATTTTCATATTAAACATTTGGGAATGTGTGTTGTTGTTTTTTTCTCGGGCAGCTTTTGTTTAGATCATTTAGCCTTTTAATGCTCAATTCTGTAGCTTATTCTGTAGATAAAAAGTGACGTGACATGTGGCCAAGTATGGTGACCCATACTAGGAATTAGTGCTCTGCATTTAACCCATCCTAAGTGCACACACACAGCAGTGAACACACACACACACACACTGTGAACACACACCCGGAGCAGTGGGCAGCCATTTATGCTGTGGCGCCCGGGGAGCAGTTGGGGGTTCGGTGCCTTGCTCAAGGGCACTTCAGTCATGGTATTGAAGGTGGAGAGAGTGCTGTACATTCACTCCCCCCACCTACAATCCCTGCCGGTACGAGACTCGAACCCACAACCTTTGGGTTACGAGTCCGACTCTCTAACCATTAGGCCACGACTTCCCCTTGTGATGTGCCTACTAGATGTGCCTACTATACAATACTATCCAAAAGTTTGGGGTCAGTAATGTCTTCTTTTCTTTTTTTTTTAAATAAATGAATACTAAAATATCCATTAAATTGACCTAAAGTGACAGTAAAGACTTTCTATTCAAATTTCTATTCATAAAAGAATCCTGAAACAAATGTATAACGTTTTCCACAAAAAATATTAAGCAGCACAGCTGTTTTCATCGTTGATAGTAATAAGAAATGTTTCTTGAGCAGCAAATCGGCATATTGGAATAATTTCTGGAGGATCATATGACACTGTAATGATTCTGAAAATTCAGCATTGCATCACAGGAATAAATTACATTTTAAAATATATTAAAATAATTTTTTTTTTTTTTAATTGATATAATATTTCACAATTTTTTGATTAAATTAAAGTCTAAAAATAAAATAAACAGTCTCCCCAACACCAAACGTTTAATGGTAGTGTACATTTAACATCTTTTCCCTTGTTCAGAACTGCATTGCCACACATGAATGTAACGGCATTGACATCATCATCGCGCTCATCCTCAATGACATCAACCCTCTGGGAAAGAAGAGGATGGACTTGGTCCTGGAGCTCAAGGTGTGAGAACACTTCCACAGCATTATGGGATGTGTACTGTAGTTTTCAATCTAGTCCAAAATAATTGGCATGAATTGTCTTTTTGTTACAGAATAACGCCTCAAAACTGCTGCTTGCCATCATGGAAAGCCGCCACGACAGTGAGAATGCGGAGAGAATCCTGTATAACATGAGGCCTAAAGAACTGGTGAATGGCACTTTGCACAAACACATCTTTCTCCTGTTCCTGTGGACAGATTTTCTGTTTTGCATATGGTGGCAAATCTACTGTCATTATTGAAATGTTTGGTTGGTGTACAGGTGGAGGTGATCAAAAAGGCCTACATGCAGGGAGAGATTGAAGTAGAACACAACGAGGATGATGAGAATGGCGAGGAAGAGCACGCCGCTTCTCCACTAAATGTGGGTCACAACATCTACATCCTGGCCCATCAGGTGACGCACACAAATATGCACTTACACACACTTTGACTGCGTTCACTGTGTCAGATGTCTGGATTATATCACCGTCTTCCCCTCCCCCGTGTGCTTCAGTATAGATTTTCTGCCTATTCACGTAATTATCTGGGTCTATGTCGGAGGATCAGTTATGTAACCACGTTAGGAATGGTGCAGCTTTTCCACCGGTTCTCCAAATGACACTGTTTGGCATCAGGGCTTTGTGAATGAAAAGACCAGAGAACAAAAAGTACATTAGACATGGCCCTTTGATTCAGTTTTACCCAAATAATAGATAAATGTGCTTTTGCAGGTTGAGGCTCAAAAGGTCAGTCCATAATTGCAGCTACAAGTAATCCATTTCTGTGATGGCTACACTGGCCGTGTTTTTTAAACCGAGTTTATTTGTTCACTGCTGGGCTTTGACCCTTGGTTGTTGTCGTAATTGGACCATTGTGAGAATATTAAATGCGGCTATTTCATGGCCATTTAGCTATTGGAGAAGGAGATCAAAGTTAGGTAAATAATATTAAAAACATAATAAAACAAAAAGATACATAGTAAATTATTGTTTTTCACACAAATATGCAAAAAATAATAAGTAAATAAGTAGTTAATCACATTATAAGCAGATTAAATAATGGAAAATACACTGAATAGATAAAATAAAAAATACAATAGAATAGATAAAAAGTGGCTGTTAAAGTCAATATACATATGTTTGAGCATTAGTCAAATTCCTTATTTTTCTTATTCTGGTAACAGAAAGTATGGAAGCCTGTTTCCGCCACTGATTAAAAAAAAGGTAATTGAGACTTTTTGTCTCACAACTTTGACTTTTTCTCACAATTGCGAGCTTATATCCCGCAATTCTGACTTTTTATCTCGAAATTCTGACTTTATAACTCGCGTGTAAGTTTATCAGTGTTGGGGAAAGTTACTTTTAAAAGTAATGCATTACAATATTGCGTTACTCCATAAAAAAGTAACGAATTACGTTACTTAGTTACTTTTTATGGAAAGTAATGTGTTACGTTACTTTTGCGTTACTTTTTAAATCTGGACAGGGCTTTCTTGTTTATTTTTAAAATATATATATATTTTTTTTTGGCAAATATAAAAGCCTTTTCACACCAAAAGTGATACATTGGAAAAAAAAAAGTAACTTGCGTTACTTATTTGAAAAAGTAACTCAGATATTCTCTTGTAAACTAAAAAGTAATGCGTTAGTTTACTAGTTACTTAAAAAAGTAATCTGATTACGTAACTCGCGTTACTTGTAATGCGTTACCCCCAACACTGAAGTTTATATCTCACAATTGCGAGAAAAAAAGTCTGAATTGCGAGTTTGTATTTCGCAATTCTGAGAAAAAAAGTCAGAATTGTGAGATAAAAAGTCGCAATTACCTTTTTTTTTTTTTTTTTTTCAGTGGTGGAAACAGGCTTCCATAAAAAAATATTGCAGAGTGTGTATTGCAATAATCTGCGTGTTTATAGCTATCCAAATAAGAATGCACCAATGCTAGCAACTGAAGTTTGAAAGCCTCAGACTTTTGTGTTGTAGTTGTGACAGTGTTATTTACCATCATCTAAAGGCTTTATATTGATAAAATGTTTCATGATATTTGCCTGGGGTTTGGGTGGCATGATTGCTATGGTATATTATAGGATTAAGGATGAAACCTTTATGTGAACAATACAAAATATTTGACATTACATTTGACAGACATCACATTCTGAAACATTCATAGATTAGGTATGTCATTAATTAACAGTAACCTACCTATTGGACAGTTATGAGCTCAGGATTGCGGTCTTCAGTTCGAACCAGCATTTCTCAGACAGGCGTTGGCCTTTCGCTGACGGTAAAGCGTGTTATGAGCAAAACAACAAGGCCAGACAGATCATTGCAACATATATACACTGTCACAATGAAAACAAACACAGTCTCATCCCTTTTTCCACATACACCCACAGCTCGCCAGACACAACAAGGAACTCCAGGCCATGCTGAAGCCAGGAGGGACGTACGGGGAGGGAGATGAAGCTTTGGAGTACTACGCCAAACACACAGCCCAAATCGAGGTCAGTGGTGTCCATCTATGGTGGTCATTACAGATCCACCATCCATAGACTTGAGTACACAAGCATCACTATTACTATTGTTCATTTGTTGAAAAACCCTGGCGGTTATGCTACAGACATGAAGCGATCTTTTCAAAGCGATCAGGTTTACAGTTTCCACCTGGCAAAAACAAAAAAGAGCAAAATACCCCCATAGACTTGTGTTGAAGACACATGTAGTGACCAGAATCAAGTACTCACCCTCATGTTGTTTGCAACCCGCAAGACCTCGTTCATCTTCGGAACACAAATTAAGATATTTATGATGAAATCCGAGAGCTTTCTGTCCCTGCATAGACAGCAATGTAACTGAAATGTTCCCAGGTCCAGAAAGGTAGTAAGGACATCGTTAAAATAGTCCATGTGATATCAGTGGTTCAACCTTAATTTTATGAAGCTACGAGAACACTTTTTGAAGATGAATGAAGGTCTTACAGGTTTGGAATGACACGAGGGTGAGTACTTAAAGACAGAATTTTCATTTTTGGGTGAACTATTCCTTAAAATAAGTAGCTTTGTCTCCTGTTTAATTTTGTCACATAAATTCACGGCGATGATTAAACAGAAAGCTGCTTGGTTTTAAATGATTTTTTTTAAGCAATGCCATCACTTTTGACACTGGACAGTGGACCTTTCTTTACCTTCGAAAAATTCACTGACATTTCGCTACTGTGATTGCACCTTTAGAAGACAACAAGACAAAACCAAAACAGCAACTCTGTAAGTTATAACCTCCAGTGTCCACCAAATGTAACCCCTATCGCCAATCAAGACAGCTTGCAACACTGCGTTTTTTTTCTTGCAGATCGTCCGCCTGGATCGCACAATGGAGCAGATCGTTTTTCCCGTCCCCAACATATGCGAGTTCCTAACCCAGGAGTCCAAGCTCCGTGTCTATTACACCACAGAGCGCGATGAGCAGGGCAGCAAGATCAACGACTTCTTCTTACGCTCTGAAGACCTCTTCAACGAAATGAACTGGCAGAAGAAGCTGCGAGGTACTCAAGAGGCCACTGGTAACGCAAACTCCGTGCCTTGTGCGTGCGCACTCCCTTCCTCTATAACCTAGTAAGCTGCTTTACACACCCTCTCTACTCCCAAAGCGTCCAGGGACCCATCAGGGCTCTATTCATGTAGGGCACCCAGCTTTTGGTGCTGGGATGCATGCCTCACCCTGACCCTCTCAAGCCCGGGCAGTAGGGAGGGGGTGTAAATGTTAACTTATATAAGATAGACAAGAATAAACCTATAACTAAAAATTATGTTTAAGTTTGCTTAAGATTTTGGTTTAATGTGTGCTTGAGGGTTTGGGAAACAAGGAAGAAAGAGAAGTCTGAATGAATCCCAAGAGTCAGGGAGAAGTCTGAATGAATCCCAAACAAACACACATGGCGGCTTACATCACAAAAGCCGATTACGGAAATAAGCTGAGCGAGGGATCAAATAAACAGATGATGGCAAAAAAGAAATTCTTTAACCCATTTTCCACCAACTGGTGACCAATCTGGAACCATTTCCAACTAGCTCTGCACCAGCTGCTTGAACCAGAAACCGATGTCAGGGTGGGTTAATGGCCAAACTGAATGGCAATGTCGAAGTATTAGAATATTAAAATACCAAAAAAAAAGAATATCAGAGGAACCAAAAATGTATTAAATTACCCAGGACCCATGCACTTTTGACTGTTGCATTAAAAGATCGAAAATTCTGTTTCTGTGGAAAACGGATTGGAAAGGTGAGGCAAGGATGGTAGAAAATGGGTTATTTGGAAAAGGATAAGAGCTCTCAGACAGGAAGAGTGTGAGGTGAACCGCAATAACAAGATAAAACCTGCAAGATAAGAATCAGAACTGTGTCAAAAAGCAAATTGACAGACGGAGGGGCTTGCGTCAGCTATTTTCTTGCATGGGACATTTGGCCACAGATCTTGTTTGTATCTTTGAGTCTTTTGGTCATGAGTTAAAAAGGAGGGTGTGAATAAAAAGGAGGGTGTGAATTCCATGTTAGTAATGAACCTCTGTGACTGACATGTAAAGGTTTTTATCAGGCAGAATCAAAGTAGAAGCAACGTTCCATTGCCGCAACCCCAAGTCATGAGTGTGGCGGCCTGTGTGTGAAAGTCCCCTCCTCCAGTTCCTCTTTTCAGACAAAAAACCCCTGTCAAAATAGCCATAGCTTAGAAACTAAATCCTCCAATTAGACTCCTCAGAGAGTCATGGGTCAAAACAAAGGTGACGGTTGAGGTCAGCGAGCTCTCGTATATGGTTTGGCCGCACTAAGAATCCCTTTGAACTCTTTGGTCTTATTTCTAGGGTTTTTGACTTCAAATTTAGGTGCCGGTGGTGAAATTGCACGTCTGTAAAACTGCACAACTGACCAAACAGCCTCTATCTTCATTCAGTACATGTTTTATTTGGAATAACATTGTTTAACTTAACTAAAGAAAAACTGTTTTTGAAGGAATAGTAGACTTAACAAAGTTAGTGCGTTGGACATTGTCCTGATTGGATGTAACTGGAAATGCACATGGTCAGCTGGATCACATTTGATCTTGGGATCATTCAGAAAGAATTGGTTCTTGAGGTCGCCATGGAAACTAACACACAACTGTCCTCATGTTGTTTAGTAGAAGGCAGTAGAATGACATAATGTGATCAATTGCCTAAAAAATAAACTTGGAAGAAATTAAAGATGAGCAGTACTGCGTGGAACTTGTGAGTGACATCATCTGTTATTTCATCCCAGCAGGCCTTGTTATATTACGTGAGATTAGTTTCTTTCTTCAAACCACAGTGCATTACATTGTTCTGTATAGGGTGGAAATAGGCAGTTTTATGGGTGCAATGTGCAATTTCTGACCTACTACCAAAACCAAACAGAATTGCAAAAATTATGACTTTTCAAACTGATTTCAAACGATGCCATCTTCTGTTGTTCAGGCAACCAGGTGATCCTGCTCTAAATTCCACGCAGTTGGTTTAAACCAATGTTGTTGTGTTAGTACTCGAACAGATTGCTTCCCCTAGTGGCACAGAACTTACACACTTGGCCAAAGTTGGTGCTTGTTTGAATATCAGCAAATGGTTTCAAATGAAATCTGTCAGTTTGTGTTTGTGCCAGAACCATGTACGTGGAGCTCTGATATGGTGTGCATCAGGGGCGTAGTATTGGACTTAGTTTTGTGATGGCAACACTCTGGAAAGGTACAAATTGTGCTGTGTTGATGTTCCTTAACATTTGGAATTGAATTTTTTGACTTGCTGCCTCCTCCAGCTCAGCCCATCCTGTACTGGTGTTCCCGTAACATGTCCTTTTGGAGCAGCATTTCCTTTAATCTCGCCGTCCTCATGAACCTGTTGGTAGCATTCTTCTATCCACTGGAAGGAGTGCGCGGAGGTGAGTTTTTTTTTTGCTGTTTAGCATGAAATTCAATACAAATGTAATTTGTATTTTTTTGCATATTAGATATATAGAAATTTCTGAAGTTTTTTAATATAATTTTATTATTATAATATTATTATATACATTATACTGTAATAAAGGATTTTTTCAAATCTCTGATCCAAACAAGCTGGATACTAGTGCTCTGTAGACAGTGCTCTGTAATTGTTAGAATACCAACCACAACTTTGATCATACTTGCATACATTGCTAGAGTACAGATTGCTGTTTTCATGGAAGTAATTGAGTGCATTCAGTAACAGATACTGGAACTTGACACTTCACTGACCTACTTTCGGCACACACAGCCCCTGAAAGACATAATTTGTCAGAGTTCCAACAAAAACGCTGCTGGCCTTACTTCTGTCATAACACATCTTATATAATTCATTCATTCTGAACGATTTGATCCCCTCCACTTACCTCAGTAGCGTAAAGTTTTTTATATATCCATGTTTATTCCATATAATCAGTGAATAAATGTATTAATTGTATAAAATTAATATATTAAATATATATTTTAATATTTATTGTAAAGAATGATTAAATGCATGATTAAACATTTAGAAATATAAAAAATATGAGTAAACAAAAACTAAAATACAGATACATATTTACCTTCAGACACCTTGGAAAGCATTTCTGATCCACAAGCGTGCTTGTTCTTTATGGGGTGTCGTAACGATCAGCATAACTTTTGTGCATAACCTCGTTATTGATCTTGCCCTCTTATCTGAGATCACTCGTGTAACATGTCACCTGACTCCGGCGCTCACATGCACACTATTTCCCTAATCTCATAAACTGTTAAGACTGTGTGTCTATCTCCTCCCTGCTCTTTCTGATCAAAAGTGTGTTTGTATACATGTCGACGGAATGCAATACCTGGGGTGCGCTATCAGCGCACGTGTGATCTACTGACGAGCCTTCAGTGGGCGCGACAGATAGCGCACAGCCGCACAACATTATATAATATTACAGTATGTAATATAACCTATTATATATATACAGGTGCATCTCAATAAATTAGAATGTCGTGGAAAAGTTCATTTATTTCAGTAATTCAACTCAAAT